ACACGAACGGCTCCTCACCCGCATCGCAGAGTTTGGGGGGGACCGTTCGTGTGATGGGTTTGTTCCTTATACTGTAAGCACCACCATAGTCATATGTACAAGTGCCACAGCTGCACACACAGACAGATAAATGTTACATATATATATATATAATATACATTAAGATACCATATATAAATATATACTGATTATCCAAGATTCCAGATGCTTGAATTGAGCGCTTCTTCAGGCGCCCAACGAATCTGAAGCAATGAAGCTTGGGTGCAGAGTGGGCCGCCTACGACTTCACGGCCGACTTCACGGCCTCCATGTGCATACCTCTCAGCACTAAAGTATGTTCAAGTGGCCGTGAGGATGCCATGAGTGCCCACCTTCCAAGCGGACACCAATGGAATCCTCCATTTGCTGGTGGTGGATCTCCGTCCAGGGTGCCCCTTGTTCAAGGTCCAGGCGTGGTTTTTGTTGCATCATTTGAAGGTTGAAGATACTTGCGCGGACCTGCTCTAACTTTGACTTATAACCTCGGTTATAACCTACCCTAACCTAGTTATAACCTAGGTTATAAGTCCCATATCTTCTGTAAGTCACCTAGCTGACTTAGCTTTGACTTAGTAAGAGATATAAAGGTTAGTAAGCACTTAGGTCGGGGCCTAGCCACCTTAGAAGAGTTAGCTTCGACTTAGGCCCAAGTTGGCTAAGTCTGCTAAGTCGAAGCTAAGTCGAAGCTAACTCAAAGCTAAGTCAAAGCTAAGTCAAAGCTAAGTCGAAGCTAAGCTAAGTCAGCTAAGTCGGCTAAGTCAGCTAAGTCGGCTAAGTTTGCTAAGTCGGCTAAGTCCGCTAAGTCGGCTAAGTTTGGCTAGGATTATACTATAAGTCAAATGTGTCTGACACCAAACAAGACCAAACATTTAGAGCATCCATAGACTATCTAAAGAGGAAAAGGTTGTCAGAAAAATATCTGACACTTTCTGATCGTAGACTACTTTAAAAAGAAAACACTGTCAGAAAAAAAACTCTGACACTTTCTGACAGTAGACTACTTCAAAGGTCCTTTGGCAGGTGCTTGAGCTGCTTTTTGGGATGTCTCAAGGTTGGTCTGACGGCGACCAGTGACGCGAAAAAATTACCTGTCGCTGCGCGGCCTGGCCGCTGTCATATCTACCTGCTTGCTTTTCGCATTAATTGCTGCTCGGTTGTTCTTCGAGCCACCTATATAGACTTGGCCGACTTAGCCAACGTAGACTTAGCCGACTTAGCTAAGTTAGCTAAGTCCGAGCTAAGTCGCAGCTAAGTCAAAGCTAAGTCGAAGCTAAGTCGAACCTAAGTCGAAGCTAAGTCGCGTGCCTAAGTCCGACTTAGCTCAGACTTAGCTAAGTCCTAGCTAAGACTTACTAACCCTTATAAGTCAAAGCTAGGCTTAGCCAAGCTTAGCTAAGCAGGGTCCGCGCAAGTAGGTTTCCCAAAAAAAAGGGAGGAGCAGCAATAATAGGCCTAAAAGACCAGGGTTTGGACTCCCTGCACTCTAAATTGTAAATAGCCTCCAGGGCATTGCCCAGGCCTTAAATTCCAAGATGGTGGTCCTCGTGGTGGGAGGAGGTGATGAAACTTTTGGGGGCATCCGGTCACCTACCCAGCCAGTGGATGATCTTCAACCTTTTTGAGGCTTGGCAATCCGTTTTGGGCATCCGATCTAGGCTCTCAGCATCTCAACACATGTTTGGGCATCCCGCATTGCATCACGTTCTGAATGTTCTGACGTTTGGGCCGTCAGCTCGCTGGGACATGTGCAACAAAGCAGGCTCGCTGGGCACAACTGAAACTTAGACAAGGTAAACGAGATCCCAAGGCAAACGAGCAAGAGGTACCCTCAATCTTTCAACGGTCGAGCTTGTCAGCTCCCAAAACCTTGGTGTTTTTGCTTTATAATTTGTTTTACTGTAATAGTAGTTGTAATAGTATATATATATATAGTTCTTTCTCATGGTTTCAGGTTTGGGCTACCTAGGTCCATCTACCAATTGCCCTCATATGTCCTCAGGAAACGCTTTTCTGACGAGCACCTTGGACCTCGGGTGGAGGGATGAGGATGGGTGGAGGGATGAAAGTTCCTGGGTGTCCCAAGGTTTGTTGCTCCTCGCTTTTTTTCGCAGAAAGATGAAGAAAGGCGTTCTGGGACCCTTCATATACCCACCCCCGTTCCTTTTTCATCCACCCCCAATGGTTTGATATGATGAAGGCTTTCAGAACAAAGAGGGGCTACCTTGCAAGCCCAACATTGAGTTCCACCTGTCCATTGTAGACACATGTAAGGCTCGAGTCTTGGGTGCTGTGAACCCGCAGGGCAGATTCCAAGACCAGGATTCTAATAGCTTCTTGTTCCATCTTGTTCCTAGTAGTAAGGCTAGGAGCCCCTAGTAGCGTCCTTGTTCCTAGTAGCGATGCCCTTTGCTCCTAGCAGCGTCCTTGTTCCTACCTAGGAGTCCTAGGAGCATAAGAACAACTCAGTGTAGTTCGCCCCTACCACGAACCACCCAAACATACCGAAACTCCGACATTCAGAGGACATGATCTTCAGCACTTGACCGAGCACTTGACAATGGCTGGACGTTCAACCGGAACGATGTGTTCGGACCGTCGGACCTTCGGTCCCTGGCGCCGTGCGGCCGCATGTTTTGACCGGTCGCGCGGGTCCCGACACTCGCGTTCGCGCAGGTGCTACGCCGCCTTTGCACAGACCAAGCGTGGCCTCAGTTGCGTGGTCACAGGACTGGTTCAGGCGACCCTGGGAGGCAAAACGGAAGAAGACATGACATGAAATGACTGAAGTACAAACTGAGATTCCCAGAGATTCTCAGGGAGAATCTACAGGAAATGTTGGGTGAAGACCATGGTTTCTTGTAGATATTTCCCACCAATTCCGGGAGAGATGGAAGTGGGGACCAGGTCTTGTTGATTCTTAGCCAAAACGGCTACAGTAGCGGCTAACATGTTCAATGGGCCTGATTCCAAGGTGACTCGGAGCAAGGAGGGGTCGTTTACTGAGTCGCTGAAGCTCAGCCTCAGCCCACACGGTTTCTTTTTATGCAGTTCTGAGGCAGAAGCACGGACTCGCCGCAATTCTGATGTTGGCAAGTCACTAGTAGGTTCATCACATTTCTGCGCTTCTTGCCCAGGGCGCAGGGCCCCTGGCCCCGCCACCGAAAACCGCGGACGCGGCGCACGCGCCCAGCGGGCGGGCGAGGGTCTACCAAGCCGGGAGCCGCAGTGGGCGCATTTGCAATTTGAAGGGTGAAATGGTCCACGTTGAAAGATTTGGGATAGAGATAGGGTTCCTATTGTTTGTTTTGCCATATGGGCCTTTGAGGCATCCTATGTTTGGCAACGCGTGCTATAGTCACAGAAGGTCTTGACGCACGTTGTTCTGATCGACCACACCCTGATACAAAGTGAAGGTTGCAACCGGCAGAGGGCGGGGGTGGTCGCCCATAGTCAAACCAATCAGTTGGGATTTATGGAGTCTTTTCTCCCGTTTGGGGGGGTGCTTCGTCACCAAACACGCGGATGATCGCGGAGGCAGATGCATAGTACCCAATGGCTCCATGTAAGCCAACATTTTAGCCTGCATTCACCACCCAAAGCCGCCATATATAGGCAAACACATGCAAAAACATATTACATGGAGCAGTTGGGATATATTACAATGTTTGATCATTTCTTCCCAATAAGATCAATCAGGATACATCCAGCACAACAAGAAAGATGCCTGTTCTCTTAGAGGTCACCTGGATGTTTTGTTCGTTCCGATTCCATGTTTCCTCAGCTGACTCGGCTGACTCGTGACTTCTGACTCGAGCGGGAAGACGTTGGTTTCGTCGGGTTTTTTTTCGGGCTTCAGGTTTTGGAATGCTTTTGGAACCGCATTGGGTCCATCCCGGAATACATGGAATACATGCCGCACACGTGGAGTGTTCGGGTACCCTTAGAGCTCCTGGCCTCCCTTTCGCGGTGCCTACCCTGACCGTCTATTGTCTATTGGCCGGGCCTGTAGAGGTACACATAGGACCTTAAAACTATATTCCGGATCGGCCTTATTGTTGAGTGAATCCCCAAAAAAATTGGGAAGCGATTTGTTTGGTAAATACTTGTTCAGGCTTCCGACTCCGCTGCAAGAGTTGCAACTGGAACAGTGGAGAGGGAAGAGGTCGGTCTCACGGTCACCGTGGTGGCTCCCGTTCCGCGTGTCGAGTGGCTTGATGTTGAGGGACTTTGATGGCCCTCAACTACTTAGGGTCTAGAACGGGTGACTCTCAGGGCCGTAGGGTCTGAGGTCTCTTTGAAGTAGTTGCAGGGCATTGGGCTTTGGGGAGGGTACCAAGTTGACCAGGAGGGCGTGCACGGCACCCGAAGATGAACAGAGAAGTGAGCGAAGCCTGAAGATCTTTGGGCGTGTTTGTTGAAAGACCCACGGCTGGCACCACTACTTGGCAAGGGTACATATGGGTGGCATTATATAAGAAAGCTGCTTGGCCAAGCAGCTGAGGCCCAATGGGTCACCTGGCTGGACAACCCTACACTACCGGCCTAGGTCTCCAGACAGGACAGCCAGACAGGAAGCGCCACATAGGTAGAGTGCAGAAGCTTGGGGAGGACGTTGTCGCTATCACCGGTGTAAACCGGTGTCAACTACGACCCCATAAACACATATAAACACCGCGCTGCTTGGCTCAGGTATGTCGCGCCGTGTAGACACTGAGCAAGACATGGAGAAGACCAACGACCAAAAGGAACATCAACGACCAAAAACATTCACAAACTATATTCAGTAGTTAAACAAGCTGCATGGCCCATGGGACAAGAGTTTTTCCATGTTTTTCTCCACCGAACTGATGGTGAATTGTGAGCTCAGAGGGCTTTTCTGCGCAGGAGGACCCTTCATATCTTTTAGCACCATGAAGCTCATCAGGGCATTGAACCAGGGTCTTGTTGATGCACCGCAGCCTCCCATCCCTGCGTCCCGCTAACACGGCGCAGTCCGGCGCGCAAACCGCAGAATCCCAAAAGGGCCACCTGAGCCCATGGCAGTGCTCTTGCGGGACGAGGATTTTGATGTGCTGATTGGGAAACTTACAAGCTCACATCAGATGCCTGGATCGAAGAAGGTGACAGTCATTTCCGTGACCATTCTTGACGAGGTCTTATAGACGAGGTTCGGCGAGCCAGCGTGTAACTTTTATTCGTCCGTTGGCCCCAAAGACCGCAGTCACCCCGCCAAGACTGGGCTTTGGCTTTGAGGGAACAACATCGAGGCAACCAAGATTGAAGTTTCGGTGAAAAAAGAAAACAGCAGGCGGCGCACTGTACACTTGATGAATGTTGTGTGAGTCACGCTTCTTGCTTAAAATCCTGGCCCCCCGGGCCTTCGCGCTCGCGCTCAGGAATCAAGTGGCCGCTTTGCAACGGAAGGTGGAGAAGCTTCAGAATCAGCTCGTCGACGAATTCATGGGACGCAGGGACTCGGCCCGGACTCAACACATGTACCTGGTAGACTCAGGAACATGGAAGTGGACTTCCTGCACGGAGAGGATCATATTTAACAACAACAACAACAACAACAACAACAACAACAACATGCGTTAGTGAGTGGATATTTCATATTTGACCCCTCCAAGTCTCCATTTGACCCCTCCAAGTCTCCATTTGATTCCTCCAAGTCTCCAACAATATAGACTTGAGGCCAAGGGGGGGGGCGAAAGCTAGCGCTCCAGAATGGGAAAGTGGAGGGCAGCGAGGTAGGAAAAAACACGGCGCTCTTTTTGGAGGCAGGGGTGAAGAGTCCTTTATATGTGGTTCTTTGCCCGGATCCTCCTGCGAGAGAAGAGAGAGAAGAGAGACGGAAAGACGAGAGACAGAGAGGAGAGAGAGAGAGAGAGAGAGAGAGGAGAGAGAGATGAGAGAGATATGAGAGAGATGAGAAAGAGATGAAGGAGAGATGAGAGAGATATGAGAGAGATGAGAAAGAGATGAGGGAGAGATGAGAGAGATGAGAGAGAGATGAGAGAGAGATGAGAGAGAGATGAGAGAGATGAGAGAGAGATGAGAGAGAGATGAGAGAGATGAGAGAGATGAGAGAGAGAGAGAGAGACAGTGAGAGTGAGAGTGAGAGTGAGAGTGAGCGAGTGCGGCCGCAAGATACGCAACGCTAACCGCATGCCAAAGAGCGACGACAGGACGGAGTCGAACTTGCGAAGAGGGAGGAGGGAGGGAAGGTGGGAGGAAGACAAGGAGGAGAAGAGGGGAGGTGGGGAGAGGGAGGGGGGGAGGGGGGGAGGGGGTGAAAAGTAGAGCCTACCTGTACAGGGTTCCACTCCAACAGCTGATATAGTGTGTCCATGCTTGACTGCTTCAAGGCTCAAGAGAGGGTCAATGGACCTAAAGAGCAAGAGGATAAGACTCTGCGCATAAAAGACACTAGCGGTCTGCACCTCTACCGTGTACGCCCTAGTCACTCTTTCAGTGGTAGCGGAGCAGTGATCCTGGAAGACCCAGGTGAGCTCCTTTCCTAGGCATAGAATTGCTTGTGGGCAAACGGCCATGGATTGGATTGACGACTGGGAAGAGCCTGATGCGGATGTGGCTTATGAGCCAGCAGCCTACGTGAATAGGCATGTGAGAAGAGAACCAGCAGCAATAGCAATGACAACACAGGTCACTACAAAGGTGCCCCCATCTTATGATGGAAAGACTTCATGGTTTTCCTATGAGGATGCCATAGACGATTGGTGTGATATCACCGAGCTGGAAGATGAGAAGAGAGGACCAGCTTTGAGAAACAGATTAGAAGGAGAAGCAGCAGTATACAAACGTATATTAGACAGAGATTCATTGAAGGCTAATGAGCCACCAGGAGCAGGAGTAGATTACTTCAAACGAGTACTACGACCATATTTCGTGAAAGGATCAACCAATGTATTCCTATACAGGTTCATGCAATTCGTGCGATTCAATCGAGGATCAGCCGACATGATGAAATGGATGACAAGATTCCAGATTTTACTCCAAAGGCTTATGAGCAGTTGGATGGACATGTTAGAACCAGTCACTCAAGCACATCCCCAAGTCCTTGCTCAGATGCAGGCAGATGCAGCGTTGACTGGAGTAGCACCAACGGCAGAAAGGATTCAGGAAATCATGCAGAATGTCAATGGCAATATGAGAATTCTTCATCAGAATGATTTTCCTTTAGGAGAGAATCTCATTGCCCTACTCATGCTGTCCCTTGCAGATTTGTCTCAGGACCAGCGAAACACTTTGACTTCGTTGATGACTCATCGTGGCAGGTACCTGCAGCAATACACCACAACAGAGTTGAGGACAGTGTTCATCGAGATGTTCTGCACGACAAAGACTTCAGTAGACAATCCATTGATGCAGCCGACAGGTGCTGGAGGTAGAAGATCATTTCTCGTACTAGACGAAGGAGAACTCGATGGTACATTTGGCTATTGGGCCGAAGATGAAGAAGATGGAACAGAAGGATTTTTAGATGCCCTGGACGATGTCTTTTGGGTATATGATGATCAAAACTTCTCGTGGTTCCAAAGGAGATTCCAAGGAAGAAGAGCCAGAAAAGGCAAAGGAAAAGGTAGAAGAAAAGGAAAAGGAAGATCAGGCCGCAGATTCTTCAGACCTCGTGGAAAAGGAAAAGGAAAGAGACGAGGTAAAGGCCATTTTGCTGATGAGCAACAGACAACTTTTCCAGATGAATACCTTGAAGAGAATCCTTATGAGGACACTTGGGAGTCAACCCAAGGAGCATATGATGCCATTCTTGCCGAGGATATGAATGACTATCTTCAAGGAGAATATGATGATGCCAATGACTTTTGGCAACAGCTTGAAGAAGCATGGTTTTCCCACAAAGGAAAAGGAAAAGGCAAGAGAAAAGGCAAGAAAGGAAAAGGAAAAGATAAAGGAGATGGCAAACAAGATGCAAACTATGCAAATCAACAACAGCCACGTTCTTTACCTGCACCTTCAAGAACTTCACAAGCATCAGGAGGTCAACAAGTTTTCTTAGCACATTGTGTGACAGCAGCAGCTGAAGTCCATGACAGTGAGGTGGACTTGCTGTCAGGCATGATGACCTCATGCCAAGATAAAGCTGACTGCGTGGTCAACAATGGTGAGATGATCTTCGATGACATGAGTGCCCCTGTGAGGTACTCTTTGTCAAAGGAGATGCTCACAAAGGCTCCTGATGGCTTTGCGCTTATGAGCGCTGATGGCTTTGCGCTTATGAGCGCTGAGGAAGAAGTGAAGGAGATGCAGGCTATTTCATTTTTGACTGAGAATCGCTTCCCGCCAACTATTGCAATCCTGGACATTGGATGCACTAGAGCTATGGGATCAAGGCGAGCAGTCGACCAATTTTGTAACTATGTCGACAATCACCCAGATTGTGGATTATGGTACTCTTTTGAGTCTACCAAGAGCAAGTTTTACTTTGCCAATTCCCAGAAGGCTACTTGCTCTCAGAAACTGGTGATTTATATGTATGATCGTGCATGGACGATCCACCATACAGAGTTCGACATAGTGGAAGAAGGAGAAGTCCCTTTGCTTATGAGCTTGCCACAGATGAGGAACTTAGGCTTTGAACTCAGGCTGACACCTCGACATGCTTATCTGACATCGGTGCCTCTTGGTATCAAATTTTTGGAGTTGAAGGTTGCAGCCAGTACTCATCTTGTGTTGGACTTCCAAGATATTGCATGGTATCTGTCTGACGTGCGTTGGCAGACTCAGCGTGAGAAGAGTTTTTACTCTCACCTCACTCACTATGAATATGGCCATATTTCTGTTGAACACAATAGTGATGAAGGTGAAGCTGAGCATGCATATCCTGTGGTTGATTTCTGGGAAGTAGATGTTCACAAGAGAGAACTGATACGTCACCACAAGGATTACAGGAAAATTCTTTTCCCAGCAACTAAGTCCTGTCCTGTAGACACTGACTTGCTGGAAGACTTGCGACTAACAATCATCAAGAAGAAAGCAGGAGGAGAAGAAATCAAGAAGACAGATGATTGGCGCAAGGCAAAATGGAAGGACCTACAACTTGGCTATGAATGGCGTGGCAGAACAATTTTTAAATTTAAGCCAGATGCCAAAATTCCAGATCTAAAGATCAGGAAGGCTGGCATTGAGCACCGTGGCATTGGTGATCCCGATGCAGTGGTGCGCTCCTCCTCAGAGAAGGTTCCCATTGCAAAGGACAGGGAACCAGGCTTCTCGTCAGAGAAGGAAGGTGCACCATCCAGTGCCGCGGAAAAGCCCGTGCCGCCAAAGTTTCGGTATACTTCCAAGGGTTTTGATCCATTTTGGAAAGGACACAAGTCGAAACCATCTGAGCCTCAGAATGATTTAAAGGGTGATGATCTTGAGGAGTATGTTCCCTCAGAACCACCTGAGAGGCCAGAAGGTGAACTTGTAGAAATTCCTAAAGCATCAAAAGGACCATCAAGTGATAAACATGAACCACTTGAACCAGGTGATGGCGCTCTTGAGCCTAGGCGGATTTCAATCCCATTACCTGGTAGTGAAGTTGTTGCAATGACACCGGCATATAGGAAGATGTTACAGAGACTGGAGGACAAGGTAGAGCTTTATAAGCTTCATGTGAAGCACTACCATATGAGTCCTACTCAGTTTCGTAGACGTGTTTCTATGTTGAAGCTTCCTGACTCTGTTTTAGAGAAGTATGAATCAGTTGTCAGGAACTGCCGTGTTTGTAACACTTCAGTGGCACCTCCGCCACGAGCCAGAGTCTCCGGTATTAGAGCTTCATGTTTTGGTGATGTTGTTTTTGCTGATCATTGTGAGGTTGAACTTCACAAGAACAAGTATATCATCTTACTTGTTCTTGATGGTGCCACAAATCTTCTCTGGGCTACGGCACAGAAAGACCTCATAGATCAAACCACCATCCAAGCATTGAGGCAGTGGTCTGATGAGAACAACTGTGTTCCAAAGGCCATCGTAGGAGACGAAGCCTTTTTCACAGATGCTTTTGTTGAATACTACAGGTTCCATGGTATACAACAATGTCCTTGTGGGCCAAGAACTCCTTGGCCGAACCGAGCAGAGACAGCTGTACGTTTGTTCAAACGTATGTGGCATGTTATGAAGGTAGATCTGGATGACCCACGTTTTCGTGGTGTTACGGTCAGAGAAGTGGTCAAGAAAGTAGTTTGGGCAAGAAATTGTCAGTTGACTATCAGTGGATATTCACCAATAGAGATAGCAACTGGAAGACGTCCACCAGATCTTTTTGACCTTGAGACCGCAAGCCCTGAGCAATTGTCAGCTAGTGCAGCCGCACAAGATCGTACAAATCTGGAACTACAACGTATAGCTTTGAGAGCTCATCAAGAAGCACGACAAGCTCAGGACCTTCGAGCAGATCTTGCAAGAAGGACTATGC